TATATATATACATCTTCTAGAGCGCTGAATGCTTTTTTTCTTTTCTCTTTTCTCTCCTCATTCCTTTTCTGCGTGTATTACCACAGGTTAAAAGCATTATTGTGCTTTTGCTGTAAAGATAACAAAATGTCCTTAAAATATCAATTATAAGTGTGGAGGACATAAAACATATTGCATTTTACTGTTTATGTGTTCCTCTGGTTACAGTGCTGGCTTTGTGGTATTTTATGACTTTCTCCTTGGCCTTGATCCATCTTATCGAGTATGCAGAATGGCTGTGAGTCTCTGCAGTGGGGGGCAGGAGATGGGAAATCCTTCAGTCCTCCCTCCCATTTATTGTGAGGCTGCTTTTTCCAAGTTCCATGACAACAAGAGGCAGAATATTGCTATTTTGGCTACAAAGCAGGCTGTTCCCAGGTAACTTTTCACATTTAAATTACGTTCTTTCAGCTGGTTTAAAGAGTTTAATTTGAATTATATAGTTGTATTTACACATCTGTAACCATTATTAAAAGGTTCGTAATGCATTTTCAAAAGTATTGTATGCAGTCTTTGTTTTTTAACTACCTACTGTGAGGTCTTCCAATGTTTTCACCCAAGTTTCACACAACCTTCACCCAAGATATAGCTATTTTCTGATTAAATCTGCTGTGAATCTTGGGTAAATACATTGATAACTAGACCCCTGTGAATGTTACATATAGATCAGCTACTGAAAGTAATCAGATCATGCAACTATGTGAGTTGCAGATAATCAGTTGCACTGTCTATTCACGGACCTAGGGAACACAGTTTAGAAGTGATTTACACATATTTAATAGCCAAGGGAACCTGGGTTTGCCTTAGGGCTCCTTCACACCTGACTGATCTGTTGTGGTGTATTACTTTTATTGCATTAGACCAACTCATTCATTTAGAATGGGCAGCCAATACATTGAAATTGCCCCAAAAACCGTACTTGCAAAGCATGTTAGGCCTTATGCAATATCTGGGGATTCCTGAGGCAAGATCCTGCGGATACTTGCAAAAGGAATCCCAGATGTGTTTGTAAAGGTGCGGCTGCTGTGCCCATTCAAGTTAATGCCAGGGTGACAGCAGGCGCATCTGTAAGCGGCAGTCTGCATGTAAGCGTACATTGTATGATTACCTGTGGATCAGGAAGGGTGCTTGTCCCGTGACGCAAGTTCTCTGTGTTCTTGGACAAGCGTCTTTCCTGATGTGGGCCTCTGTGACCCTTTCATTAACTTGATTGATCACAGCGGACAAATCTGGGATTCCAGATGTGTAATATTAAAATAGACACTTGTCCTGGGAAGGGAATGAGAGCTTGTATCCCGGGACAAGCATCCCTTCTGATCCCCAGATAATCTTACTATGCACGCTTACATGTAGACTGCCTCTTACAGATGCACCCACTGTCACCCTGTCATTAACTTAAATGGGCAGAGTAGCCGCATCTGTATGGACACATCTGGTACTCCTGACGCAAGAATCCGAAAATGCCTGTGTGCATGAAGCCTTACAGTGCGCCGTAGCACAGGTCTGTCGCCCCCCTACTGTACCCTACTGTGCATTGTCTATTCACTATAAATGAATGGTACCACATTAAGTGCCGTGTGTTATTGTAGACTGCAATAACATGCTGTAAGGCATTTAATAATAATTTTTATTATTATAATAATAATGAGAACAAATAGTGCTTTTCCATGTATTTTCTTTTTTTATGTATTGTGTTCAGGAAACATATTGGACATTTTTAGTCAGGTAATATAAATTATTGTGTATATATTTTTCATATTTTTCTTTCGCAGCCAGCAGGTGGCAAATGCACTGGTATTTCAGAAATGACTCAGAGGAGAGGCTCGCTCCCTCCTCCTGTCTAAGTTTAGAAGGTATCCTCTAGATCCTCAGGGCCAGTTCACATTACAAACAGTGTGTTCCAGGGCAGTCAGCCTCTGGAACGCACTGTATCACAACTCGGCCGGCTCCCTGCGTTCATGGGCGGGAGGGGGTGAGGCGGTGCATTGTAGTCAATATCACCACAGCCAAGCCTCCCGTCCGCAGTGCGATCGCCCACACCCAAACGTGTGGCACATCAGTGCTTGCGCTCTGGTCCAGTGTGATCTGGAAAAATGCAGACTGCTCCTGAATGGTGTGAATGCAAGTACAGAGATAGTACTAGGCATGCTTATTAGATTGCCAAGCATACCGTTTACAAGGTATGCAATTATCTAGAACTATGTGTTTGTACATTGACATTACTAAACATTTCTAAAGATTTGTGTGTTGTTATTTTAAAGATATGGGTAAAGGCCTGCTTTAAATGCTTCATTGTAAAATGAGGGTTTTTACAAATAAAAATAATAAATATATGTTTATAAACTTCTAAGCCTTCAAAAAAATTAACTACAATTGACCAAAAACCAAAAATACAGTATGAGATGAGCAATAGCCAGATTACATGTGGTAGCAATTATGTAAAACTTTGCAAAACAAGTAACATATTTGCCAGCGTATAAGGCGACTGAGTGTATAAGACGACCCCCTAATTTTTCAGTTAAAACATAGGTTTTGGGCTATACACGTCGTATAAGACTACCCCCATGATGGGGTCTTTTTGGGCCATTTTGGGGTCTTTTTGGGCCATTTTGTTTAAATACACCCACTAATCTGTCAGCTGTATGTACGGTAGCTTTGGCTGCAGTATACCGCACTGAGCCAATCACGTAAGGTGATGTATTCTAGTAATGAATACAAAGCCTGCTCAGATTGGCAGAGGTTGTGTACATCGCTCGCCATGATTGGCTCAGCACAGTATATTGTATGTAGCCGAAGCTACCGTACATACAGTAATACCGCACATCCAGCGGGCTGACAGATTAGGGACGTTTTGAGTACCCGCGTAGACGAACCCCGATTTTCGGGGGATGTTTCTAAGTATGAAAAGTCGTCTTATACGCCGGCAAATACGGTAGAACTTGTCAGGTGCATTTTCAGTTTTGTATGAATTTCTAGGTATGTTTTGTAAACCATACAGACCCTTCTCTAAAACATAAAATGAGAAGAATAGTGAATGGAATATTAATATATTTGCATTTCAACCTGCTTTCTCCAGAGTACGTCCTTCTCCAAGTATTTCCTTAATAATTGAACTTCAGGCATCTGGTGGTTATGATCCTTATGGGCAAGAAGTCAGCCGTCTAATACCTCGAGGATGGGTAAAAGTAGACACCTTTGACTACCAGAACAGAGTTATCAGTGGGCAATGGAAAGTTCCAATTCGTATACTTCCTGTGAAACCATCACTCACTACAGGGGCCTTAAACGGTGTGCCTCAGGTAATACATTTAATCCTTTGTTCAAATAAGCCAACTGACATCCTAGAATATATTTTACAATGATACACTAGGGGGTGTATTGATAAAATATTTGCTGAGTTTTTTGCTCTGTAAACAACTGAGGTTTAGATTCGCACAGCATTATGGCCACTGGATGGGGCTGAGGAGCATAGGAATTCCTATGCTCCTCAGCTCCTTCTAGTGGCCATAATGTGGTACGAATCTAAAACTCAGACGTTTGCGTAGCAAAAAGCTCTGTGAACATTTTTATAAATACACCCCTAATTGGAAGTTGTTTTTGTAGTTTGATTTTTACATTGTATTATAGCACATAAATGTTATATTTACTTTTATAGCTGGAAAATGCAGAGTTGTACTTTCGCCTCGTTAATGCAAGGGATGCCGACATACAGAGCACTTATCCTATTCACATCAACAACTCAGTATGCTATAAATACCCATCACTGGTAAGTCCTACATGCCATCATAGTTTTTCTGTCATTTAATAAACTCAAATTTATAGCACATACCATGCCAATTTGATGCATTTAGATAATCCACTACTGTCCAAATTGTTTGAAACAAATATTTTATATGCGGAAAATTTACAAGAGCTCCTTCATTCAGCACTCTTCCAACAGCTACGGCATCCTATGCTGTCTGCTGCCCAGGTGGTAAAAATGTATTGCCTGGCTGCCCACACCTGCACACTAATGTCCCATAGACCTGAATACTAAGGCTGGGTTCACACCTGAGCGTATTTTTTCCGCTCATTTTTCCGCTCGTTTTTTTCGCATTTTTTAGCACGTTTTTATTTTTCACTTTCAAACTTCACGCCGGCTCCGCCCCCCTGCGACGCGGCCGCTTGCAAGGGACGGAACCGGGAAGTCGGCAGCTGCCGGAGGACACAGCGGAGATCGCGGACAAGATAAGACCTGTACGCTGTATTCCCGATTGTGGCTCGGAGTTACCGCTTTGTAACCCCGATCCACACTCGGGAATTCCAATTGAAACGCGCAGAAAAATGCCCCAAAGAAGCTCCTGTACTTCTTTGGGCGTAGGGCGTTCCTACGCGCTGTAAAACACCCAGGTGGGAATCATGCCCATGGGCAATTATTGGTTTTCAAAATTTAATCCAAAAGATATATAACACCATTGTGGTGCAGGTTCCGCTGCATGCACAAGTGTTGAAAGGGAACACGTTGACAGGTTGAGAGAACAGAGTATAAACAGCTTATTCCTTATTGATATGCTGCTTCTCTTTTATTGTCATATCATCCGCCTAAGGGCTGGGAAGTCACAGCACAGTACAACAGTGAAAATGTTGTACGAATCATAAAAGTAACTGGACAGAATTGCAATTTATTTGGTAAATTAGACAAGATGAGTTCATATATGTAAATTCCCAAGTTTACCTAGTGATTGCTTGGCCTAAAACTGTATAACACAGTATCTGTGACAGTGTGGAGTAAAGTAGGAAGGAGTTCTTGCAGCTGGAATCTAGAAAGAAGCAGCTGCTGAAACAAAATATTTACAATACTATTTGCAATATTTACAATAATGGTCTTGACATATGGTCATGGTCCATATGCATCCCTCTCTCCCCCTCTCCTCCCATCCTGCACGTCACTGGCCATCTATTCGCATCCTCCTCTCCTCTCTTTCCTGCACCTCACTGGCCATCTATTCACATCCTCCTCTCCTCTCTTTCCTGCACCTTACTGGCCGAGTGGCCGTCCACTCACATCCTCTTCTCCTCTCTTTCCTGCACCTTACTGGCCGTCCATTCACATCCTCCTCTCCTCTTTCCTGCACCTTACTGGCCGTCCACTCACATCCTCTTCTCTCTTTCCTGCACCTTACTGGCCGTCCATTCACATCCTCCTCTCCTCTCTTTCCTGCACCTTACTGGCCATCCACTCACATCCTCTTCTCCTTTTTCCTGCACCTTACTGGCCATCCATTCACATCCTCCTCTCCTCTTTCCTGCACCTTGGTGGCTGTCCATACAAATCCTCCTCTCCTCTCTTTCCTGCACCTTACTGGCCATCCATTCACATCCTCCTCTCCTCTCTTTCCTGCACCTTGATGGCTGTCCATACACATACCCTTCTCGTTTCTTTCCTGCATTGCTGTGACTCACTAGCTGAGGGGGGCTCTTCTCTCTCTTGCTTTGCTCCACCTCACTGGCTGTCCATACACATCCTCCTCTCCTCTTTTTCCTGCACCTTGCTGACTTTCTATACACACCCTTCTCTCCTCTCCTTTCTGCATTTTAGCACCTTGCTAACTGTCCATACACATCCCCCTTTCCTCACTTTCCTGCATTGCTGAACCATACTGGCTGTCCATACACATCCTTCTCTGCTCTCTTTCCTGCATTGCTGCACCTCACTGGTCATCTATACACATTCTTCTCTCCTCTATTTCCTGCACCTTGCTGATTGCCCATACACATCCCTCTCTCCTCTCCTTTCTGCATTGCTGCACCTTGCTAACTGTCCATACACATCCCCCTTTCCTCTTCTTTCTGCAGTCCTGCACCTGGCTGGCCATCTCTACACTTCCCTTCTCTCGTCTCTTTCCTGCATTGCTGCACCTTGGAGATTTGCACAAAACTAACATATTTCTCTTTGTTAAGTCCTTACAAATAGTTCAATGGCAAATAGTCGTTGTAATTCTACTAACACAACTGTTTTATTTCCTTCTACAGACTGTGGCCTATTTCCACCCAGAGGAGGTTGTTCTTCCGTCTCCTTACTATAGTCCCTCACATTTTTTTCCAAACATGCATCCCATCTATGGGGACAATGTGGATTCCCCTCCTTCCAGGGATAGAATAATGACCCACTGAAATGAATTTAATCTGCATTGATAACGACTTGACCATCTTCTGCCAATAATGTTGTAATTTTGTGTTTGCAAAAAATATTTCCAATATGAATTTGGATTTTCTTAGTGTGTTATTGCAACATCTAGGACAATGTGTACACTAATATTAAAGCAGAACGCCAGCAAAAAAGGACAAGATGAAAACAAATAGACCATTAAAAGATAAAATAATAAAACTAGTTTTTCCTACAATATTCACCTTCAATCCAGAAATTACCCCGCAGTACTTTTGTTTTCTTTCACTAGATGTCCTTCATTTAGTCCCTTCCTCTGAGCCCAGAGCATTCTGCCCCAGCCTATGACTGGACAGTGAAAAGAGAAGAAGCACAGTGATCAGATCATCTCTCTGTTACTCTGCTTTCATGTTACCACATTAGCATTCAGCTCTTTGTACTGCTTCTTCATCTCACACTCCAGCCGCGCACCGACTGCCAGAGGCTGATTCTAGGGCAAATTCAGGTATTCACACTGCTTGCATGTAATTATGTATTAATGATTATAGAGCTGCACTAATCTGCCCAGAGTATAGTTAAAGCACCAATAGATCTAAAATGCTCACATTATTTTAGAATTCCTCTGTTGGACAAAGAGTTAAGCTTTTTATACATTGATAGGTTTCTCTTATTGAGTCCTGCAGGACATGTCCAGATGCAAGCAAAGGTGGCTTATCTAGGTGTAAACAATAGCTGATGCTATATTGTCATGAGAGATCAGTCCAGGGGAGTCTAACATGCTCTACTGATGCTTGTAGTCATGAGGATTATCAACCAATGTTAACTACAGTCTACCCTTACACAAACCATAGAGCAGAAGCACAACACATGCAGACTGACTGTTTCCTGTGTGCAGCTATTCTGGCTTTACTCCAAGCAAAAAACCTAAATGATCATTGAATAAATATAAAGGAGCTGTTTTACTAAAGGATTTGTTTTTCTGTCTATCCATTTCTGAGATCTACACAACTCTGCCGCACAGCACATACATGTGTGGGACACCAATTTCTCTGTTACAGTTATAGCATACATCTCAACTCTCCCTAACGCTCCAGGAGTCTCCCGCTATGAGATAGCGGCTCCCAGACGCCCCAGGAGAGAAACATTTTATTCCAGGAAGGTTTACTCTGCTAGATAGCAGCTTTCCCTGCTATCTGTTTGACCACCGTCAGAGTAAAAAAAAAAAAAGACAGCATTGAAATTACTGCTAGACTGCTGATGGCTATTTCAATTTGCAATATTCAATAGCAGGCTGGCTATTGCACCCTCCCTCTGCTGCTGTCAATCAGGTGGACCTGAAGTTCTACATCAGGTCCTCCTCTGCTGATCGACAGCAGCAGTGGGAGGGTGCAATAGCCAGCCTGCTTTTGGCTATTGTAATTTGAAATAGCCAATAGCAATCTAGCTATTCATTCCCATGCTGTGTGTGTGTTTTGTTTTTTTCTGATGGCAGAAGCTGTCAGAATACAACAACAACAACAACAACAACAAAAACCAGCAGATAGCAATAATTCTCCTCCTGATCCAGCATGTTCTGGGCTGAAAATTATGTATTCCAGTAATTGGCCAATTGTGGATCGGCCACACTAGCTGGGCATAAAGAGGTGGCTACTGTAGTTCATTTATGTGAGACATGTACATCTATTCTGATTCCGATTGTTGTTATAGCAATTTATCCCTTGTGAGACCTCTATGCCTGGCCTGTATAAGAAGATTCAATCACTTGTCAGATAGCTGAACTCACCAATACCGTGTTCATCCACAAAGGTTGATTTATTCTGTACATCAGACAACAGGATACAGCAGATGGATGGTTTTCAGTATTATGCGGTCAAAAGATGATGCCTTTCCTAGCGTACTGTGCAGAATACACGTGCCCCTGTTACATGTGGCCTGTTAGCTGTGGCCATGACACAGGAAGTACTGACTCAGGAAGAAGGGTGGGGCATTACATACAAAGGAAATGTGTCATAGATCTCAGGGATATCAGGGAAGGGAACATAGAAAAATACGTACATTACCACAAAAGGCCACTAGATGGCAGCATATAACTTACTATAGAATGGCCATAGGGAAATTATTAAGGGAAAACAAACTATATGGTTCTTATCTAACATTAATGTAATAACATATTCTATGCCCCGTTGGGGCGGCACAACATCTTTATCTGGTGCAGACTTATCTCCATTGCAGTCTTACATTAAAAAAAGATGTTACTCTGAAAATGTATTTTAGGCTCATAGATGCAATACTAAATTGGTCAATTCAGCTCTACATGTTCGTCTGAGCTGAAGTGCAGAAGGAGTTAGTCTCAGCCGATCCAGCTCACTTGCTGTCGTTCGCCCCTATTCTCATAGGAGCCGCCTGGCAATAAGTGAATAGCCGAATGCCGTCGAGCGGCATTCGACTCGGCTATTCTGCTCGCTACCTTCAAGGTAGCGAGCAGAATAAAAAATACGTGAAATGAATAATTACAAAAAATTTGAAAAATTATTTGAAAAATAAAAAAAATAGGAATTTTTTTTTGAATGTTTTTTTAATAAATAAAAGTAAACAAAAAATGATACACGCCGACACCCGCCCGGTCGCGACAAACTCCTGCCGCATAATGAAGCATCTGACAGATGCCGGCAAAATAAAAACAATTGGGCTGAGCTAGCAGTGGCAGCAGGTCCCGGGCGATGAATAACAACTAGGCGGAGCCGGCCTTGATGTCACGGCTGGCTCCGCCCAGTTGTTATTGTTTGATGACAGATCAGCATTTCCAGGTAATTTGGGGACGCTGATCTGTCATCACAACTGGGCGGAGCAAGCCATGAGATAACGGCTGACTGCACCCACCTGCCATTTGTGTGGAGATCGGTTGGCTTCGGCCGATCTTTCTCCACGCTTCGGTTGTCACTTCGGCTCAGTCGAGCCGAAGCATATGCCTTCAGCTCAGCTCAGCTGCTGTACTGGCTACAGTGAATAGCCTGTACAGCAGCCCTTCGGTTCGAACCAAAGCGCTCCGGCGCCTGAAGTGAGCCAATGCTATGGCTGGAACTTAGGCTCATTCGTGAATAACCCCCTTAGTGTTCTTTGTATCTGCGGATGGAGGGGGAGCAGTGGGGCACCTTCCTGAAATGAGAAGGGCACCTCCCTGAAATTAGTTTAATCAGGTTGAGATCCCTGACAACCTGAGATTTTTATATAACCTCCAGTTTAGCTCGCAAAAGTGGTTTACTAAAAAACACCTCTGTTATATAATTATTAGCTACACCTTTAGGGCATCCAGTATTTTGTCTGACCGGAATGCAGGCATTGATGTGTCATGCATTCGGGTGTGGGCGATTGCAATGCGGCCGGAGGGCGTGGCTGCATTGCCTTTGACTTCAATGCACCACCAAGCCCCTTACCGCCCCGGAATGCGGGGAGTTGGCCGGGATGCGATCCACTGCTTCCAGCACCGAATCGGGCCGGAACGCACTATTGCTGGTGTGAACTAGCCCATACTTTGCACAATCTGTCAAATTGTTTGATACTAGCTTTTGCTGGAAATGTGCTACAAAGAAATTGGCAAGTTGCTTAGGAATAGTAACTGTCAAGAATCACAGGTAGTCTGCTCCTTTCTTGGTCCTTACATATGTTTTATATAGGAGTTTATTTTTCAATATCAAAGAAATCCTGTCAGAAATGTGGAGACTGCCTTTTCTGACATCTGTTACTGAATATGCTGGTTACCTGGCTGCCATGCTGACCCTTTCCTTTTGTACTTTGAGACACTGATTCAGGCCAAGCATGCAAATAAGGACTTTTATCTTTTCTCTTGCTTTCCTGATCTGCATATTTGTACTGGGTCAGTGACTTTGAGATTACTGAAAACAGTGTCAACATAACTGTCAGGCAGCTAGCATTTTCAGAAGCTAGTTGCGCATCGGCAGCCTCCTTAATACTTTCCTCCATTTATTACCTAACAGTGCGAATGGAGCAGAAGACAGAGCTGGATCATGCCTCAAAGAACCCACCTCATTCTGACTGATTATTAAAAATGGTAAGTGAAATTTAGGTAAAATGTTTAAATTGCTAATGAAATGTAGCCATTTTTTTCAATGTGCATTGGAGTCGCTGTGGTAGCATATCTAAACCTAAATGTAATATATTTCAGCTTACCAGTGTTTAGATGAGGTAGCTGCACTAGTTTTCTATTTCCAGGCTATTATTCCCCTATTTCCAGCTGATAAACCTGCCAATAACACACTTCCTGTCCCTCGGTGGCTACACTCACTCTACTGTATCTGTGAAGGGAGCCATGGTTGTCACTAGGCTGCTCTCCTGAATTGGACTGCAAACACATCATTCCTCTCTTCATCTTTTTTAGATGCTGGAGTGGAAACAGTAGTTTACAAGCTATAGTAAGGGAGGAACATAATGGTGTTTGCTCTTCGATCCGACTCTGTGACTGCGATCTCACATTCCACACCACTCACAGAGTCGGATAGAAGTGACATTTCAGGACTGATCAGCTGTTCCAGGGCAGATCGATTCTCCTACACATACCATCTGCGATGCCGATCTACCCTGGAACAGCTGACAAAGCGTTGGAATGATTGACCTATTGGCGGTCACACATTCCACCGCCAAAAAACTGGGCGGGATTACGTTAAAATGTGTAATCACGTCACCGGTCACACATTGTAACGTAGTCACAAACTTTGATAGAACACCGTCACCAGGGGGGTATGGCCAGTACCCATGTGAAGAGTCTGGGCAGCCTGGGGGGCCCCTTACATGGGTATCAGCTGTACCAGGGGCGGCATGGCAGAGGTGACGAGAGTGGGTGGAGGTGGCCAGGCCCCAGCAGCAGCAGGTAAGAAGAGTTAGGAGGAAGTACAGGGAAATGGACCCCAACAACAAGCCCACCTGGGACCCTGCAGAGCCCACCATAGAGAGTCTCAGATGGGCTGTGCAGGATCTGTGGTGTGCTCTGCAGGGTCTCAGGTAAGTCCAGAGTCCAGCACGCTACTGCAACATTAGAAACCACTGGGGGGG